AAATGAAAAAATCTAGATATACCCCAAAAATCCAAATATTCAGAACTAGCAATCTGTTAGTATTTTAGCACAGTTTTTCTGATCTTTCAATGCCTACAACCCTAAATTGTCCATTTTTCCTTGACAAAATTGGAATCATATACAACTCTGCATTCAGTATTTTATACCTTATTAAATAAGCATATTCAATGATATTTAAAATATTTTTATTAAACACTTCAATTTATTTAAAACACTGATGGGTATAATGCAACAAACTGGCCTTTTACTGGTAAAGAAGAATCAACACCCCAAATTTAAGAAAAAGGCTCATTTTAAAAGAATCATCAAAAATAAGAATGATCATCACAGCACATTTCCTCAAGTAATTTAATTAGGAGAAATAAAATTAAAAGAATATTCATTTGATGTATTCCATGGTAGATATTGATGAATGGATTTTATAAGAAATCAGGCAACAGAAATGAAAAACAAGTTGTTTATAGTTTGGGGATCTCTCAATAGCAATGTCCCTTATATAGTTGTGAGGTTATTGTGAAGCTCCAATGAGTTAATACATACAAAGTACGTACAACAGTATCTGGCATATAAATAAGCGCTCAATAAATACTGGTTATTACTATCATTATTATTAGATGCCAAAACCAGTTCCAGATGGAAGTAATAGTTATCGCATGTAAAAGAGAGGAGAAAAAAATCCACTGAGATATGGAAATTTATATTTCTATTCTTTTTCTTTCACTTTTTCCATCTTTTCTATATTTATGTACTCCGTGGACACCATTTAAACTATTGCAGTGTAAAGTATTATTTTAAAAGCATCAGTAAATAAGGACCTGTCCTTAATTATATTATTTGATACTTGAGAAAAGAATGAATTTTTTCTATTCTAACTTTTCCCTACATGGCAGAGTACAGTACTCAATAAATGTTAATGTCACAAATCCTTATAAGGAAACAGAATAATAAAACCAAATAATAATTAAAACTGAGATGATATTAAAAGGAAGAGGTCTCAAAGCCAAAATCAATACACCACAATTCAAAGACATAGAGCAGAATGAAACAGTGAGGCAAAAAGCTTTGTTGTCCACCACAATGAACATATCACACTCTCTTTGCTCTTTCTGGGTACAATTTAGGAGGACTACTAAAAACTCTGGATTATGTCCAAAAGAGAACTGAGAGAGGGTTAAAGAACTGAGGATGCTCAGACTCAGAATAGAGAGGGTTAGCCCTCCTGCTCCCCTCCCCCATCCTCAAAGATGAGAAAAGCTATCCTATGGGAAATGCTTTTTGTGTTGTTCAGACAGAGGCAAGGACCAAAGCTACAGAGGTCTAGACTTCTCTCAACTCAAAAACTTAAAATAACAAATCTCTTCTAAGACAAAGATGTTATGAGAGATTACTCATGAAGGTATGTATTCAGGCAAAAGTTGGAAAATAGCTTGTTAAAGATGCAATGGAAAACCTCCAAGCACAGGATAATCACTTAGAATTCTAAGTTTGCTTATAAACTGTGACCACGTTAACGAATATTTACTGAATATCTGCTCCGGAAGGACACTGTCCTAGACCTATAATATAATACACACAAAAACAAAAAGCAAAGAGAGAGACATGCACACGCAGATCTCTGCTGTCAAGAAATATACAACAAATAATATACAAAATGTGTATTACTGTTTGAGACCATAACACACGTTGCAAAGCACTATGTATTAATTGCCAAATGAATTCTATTCATATATAAAGATCTTCTAAGAGGGAGAAATCCCTAAGGTTAAAATGGTCAAAAAAGGCTTTTTACAACAAATGACATATGAAGTACTTATGAAAAAATATGAAGGTTTTGAACAGGTGAAGAGAAGTAGGGAAAAGGGGACAACACAAATATAAGTGAAAAGCAAGTTAGACAGAAACCTGTTTGGCTACATTAAAAACTTGTGTCATGGAAGAAGAGATAAGCTGGTAGTGCAGGTTGTAGCCAGAATCAACTGTACTGGGCCTTGAATACCAAGCTACGTTGTTTCAAATTTATCCTGCATACGGTCTCTGCAGCAACTAATTTCTCAACTCTGCTGCTGTAGTCATAGAAAATAGTAAATAAATGCCATGTCTGCTCCAGTACTGAAATTTGAATTTCATGTATTTTCAAGGGTCACAAAGTATTATTATTCTTTTGATTTTTTTCTTCAACAATCTGAAAATGTAAAAATCATTAACTCGTTGGCCATACAAAAATGGGCTATGAGCTGGATTTGGGTCATGGGCTATGGTTTGCCAACCCCTGTACTACACTAAGCGACCTTCTCCAGCAGTCTCAAGGTACATCTGTCCTTGAGTTTCAGGGACCAGAATAACATATTATTCACTGAACAACTATACACACCCACACATGCACCCACATATACACATTTCTAACCAAGATCTAAATCTAGTAGGGGTCAGAGGTTCCCTATACATAAGTCCTCAAAAAAACTTCTAGAATGTAGATAACAAGCCATTAGAACAGACGCAAGAAATTTTTTCATTTCACAATTTATTTTCACATAGTACATATACTTACAGAGTTACAAACTATTCTTACAGAGCCTCTAAGTTACATGGAGGGATCTGTAAAATAGAGTATAATCAAGGGAACAGTAGCAGGGAACATGAGTTCTAGCCCTAGCTCTTCCACTTATGCATTATTTGACCACGAATAAGTAAGTCACTTACAATCTTCTGGCCCTAATTCTTTCATCTGTAAAGTGAAGGTTAACTTACTAGATGAACACTATGAGCTCTCTGAGCTTTAGCACTGTGTTACTTAAAAGGATCAGTCAGGGGACTTTAAAGATCAAACAAAAGTGCTAATTAAGAACACAAAAAAGAAGAGAAGGGACTTGACTAAACAAGTGGGCAGATAGGACTAACAGGTAGGAAAATGACCAAAAAAGTGCACTATTACTAAAAGCAAGGAATTTTTTTTTTAAGTATCAAACGCTACAGAAAATGCAGAAGAGGAGAGGCAAGAAAAAAAAGCCAATGAATTTGGTCATTTAAGAAATCACTGGTGACCTTCAGGAACAGTTTCCAGTAATCCAGAGGCAAATATGGAAGCGGAGGGAACCACTTGGACGAAGTATGAGTATGGCCATGAAAGAAGAATAAAGAAATTGGCTAGCTAAAAACGGCAAGGACTTTAAGTGACAGCCTTAAGATTTGAGCGTACTATGCATGCTTCCAGGAATCATGAAAGGAACCAGGGAAAAAGAAGACCAAAGATGAGACTAAGAATAAAAAATAAAGGGATGTGGTCCAGAAAAAATAGACAGAAAAAAAGTTGTGATGAGCCTGAAGCCTTAGGTAAGGGAGTTAGTCTTAAAGAGGCATTTAATCTTTAAACTTCCAAAAGATAAAAGCAGCACTGCACTATGAGTTTTTACAAAACAGGTATGTTTCAGCAAAGCTGTGTATCTATATTTTCTATAAATCAAATTATTAAGGAAATAAATCTAATTTTGGGTTTTCTTAAAGCAGAGTTCCACCTATGTAATATTTTCTAATGGTCAAAAAATTAAGTAAGAATTAACTTTGCTTTTTATAAGAATGAAAACCAGCAATAAGTAGCTCTAAAAGGAAATACATGTCTATACCTTTCTTAGAGCACCTATCACTTCCTTCCTTGCATAAGAATTACTTATGTGGTAAAGTACCAATCCCCTAATTGGAGCTCAACAAATACTAGTTTTCCCTTTCTTAGTAGCTTAAAAAGTTCCCAAGACAAGAATTCTGAGTAATTCATCTGTTTATCTGCTTTGCACAGAGTTGATGCTTGATGAGTAAATACTGACATATAAATACTGCCTTTTTAAAAACCTGTCCTTGCAAAACAACTATAATTGTCCATCTAATAAAGTTGGGAAAATATTTCCATCATATAGGTATATAACTCCAATAATATCACTTTTGCATAGTGTCAGAGCTTGCTTAAGAAGCAAAAAATTGCTACAAAACAACTAAAAAGGCAAAGAAAAATTAGGAATTTGTAATGATCACTCACAAATACCAAGATTCTACATGGCTGATTTCAACCCAACAGTTGCCTCTATTGAAGGTATACGAAAAATAAAAATCCAAAGCATTAGCCTGATGATCAGTCAGTTAAAAATACACGTTTGAATATGCTGAAAATATTTATAAAGCCAACAGAGATACTATTAATATATTGAAATTCACCGGCCAGTGGTGGATTCTAATCTTCTACTACTATTCAAGAGAAGCCAAAAACTCAAGGCTTCTCATATCACTTGCTTTTAAGAATTCAAGAAGTCACTCAAATTGGCATACACAATCCAACCTCAAAAAAATAGTTCAGCTCTCCATATGGTAATGTTCCCCTATCGCCTTCCTTTACATGAAAGTCCCATTTACTACTTTTCAACGATCTCTGGTAGGCCCTTTAGGCAGGCCAATAGTACTACCAAGTAACAGGAGTTGAAAAAAGTCGTAACAGTTAACTCTGCCCTCCCACAGATCACACTCGGGTGTAGATTTCACAAGCCCTGAAAGCTACACACTGCCACTGTCAAAACCAGAAGAAGCACCGTCACCCCGCCGTGTCCATCGGCAACTGTTCCAGAATGTTTTCTCTGAAATGCTCTCTCTCCTTCTCTTTCTCTCTCGGCTCGACATGTTAAATTAGTACTTAAAAGCCCACCTTCTCCCCCAAAGCAGGACCCGATTCCTTCCTGTCGGCTCCTTTATTCGTCCAGCCCCACACACCAGAGGGGTGTGGGGTCTCTGCACCCCGGCCCCCAGGACCCAGTGGGTCTCCCAACTGCTCGCCGCACCCACCATACCGCCCGCCCCCCGCCGCCCATCATCACACACCTCCTCCTTTCCCCACAGCCGAGCCCGCACCCAAGCCGGGCCCCCGCCGACCCCTGGCCCGGGCCTGCGCTGCCTCGAGCAGCCGTAGGCCTCGGGCCTAGCCTCCTCCGCTGGCCCCTCACCTCTTTCGGGACCAGTTGGTTCTCCTCGCCGGGCACCATCGCTCAGACTCCGGCCGCTCCTCTCCGCCCTGCCGGGGGAGGGTGGAGGGTGGCGGCGGCTCTCTACCTCAGGAGAGAATAGCAGCGGCAATCATGCTCTCCGCCGCCTGCGCTCCGGCAACCCCGGAGGCCTCAGCCTGGGCCTCAGACACCAGCGCGCAGACACCGACCCAGGGCTCCGCCGCCGCCGCCGCCTTCGTCGTCAGCCCCTCCCCCAGCCCACCGCAATCAATGGAAAAATGGCGGCGGCCGTTCTCGCGAGAATTCTGCCGCTCGGGCTCGGAGCCCGCCGCCAAGTGCCCGAGGTGCCCAGGCAGTTGTCGCTCGCTTCTAGTCACTCAGGTCTTAGCCCTGGTATGTGCAAAATTGATAAAGCGGCCATGCAAACGCTTTTCCTTAGAGGAAAGCTAGACTTTCCATCTCGGGACTCCCTCTACCGGCAGGGAAAGGACCAGGCCCAGCGTCCTCCATGCCTTCTCGGGCTCTTCTGATTCCCCGGGCGGCAGAGAAAGACTCAAGCAGAAAGCGCCTGCTCTGGCACTACCACTCATACTCTTCTCGCTTCCCGTTAGCAAAGTGCCTGAACGTCACCCGCTCTTCAACACCCCTGGCCTTGTTCTGGTAGTGAAGGGGCTACCGCCCGGCCTCCACCCTCAGGCACAGCTCCGGCCCTTCCAGTCAGAATGGACAGCGTTATATGTGCCCCCTTTCACTCCCTATCGTTCTTTTCCCCTTCCCACCCTCCTTCTCAAGGCTTCGGCCGGAAGGACCTCACGGCCCATCTCCTGCTAGAGAAAGCAACACCCCTTACCCCAGTGAATTGGTGTCATCACGGACCCCCCTCAACCCCAACTACATTGGAGAGGTGCTCCCCTTCCCCCTTCCAGGGAACTTCCCTCTCCAACAGAGCAAGTCTGAGACTGAGGTAGCCTCCGAGAATTGGGCTTCAGTATGCGTCAAACTATGATCTTCTTTAAAAATGTTTTTTAGAGAACTTTAATCTCCTTTGAGAGTAAGCATTCTGGTATGTGTTATACTAAACAAATTTTGCAACGGTCGTTTTTCCAAATCCTACTCCTATTATGAAGAGTCAGCAGGGCGTCCTTCATGAAGACTTTTCATGGATACAGTGATATTAACAGCATGCTGAGATAATATAATCCTGCCATGTTCCTAACTCCCACAGCAAAACTACCTGTACCTGCGTTCTCCGAACTTTTTTGATTGAACGTCTCCTGTTAGCAAAAAAAGAAAAAAAAGTATCCATATACTTACATAAGTTTTGTACATGTCCTGCTGTGTGCAGAATTATAAAGAATTTGTAAAAGTAAAAAGGATAAGATAAAGATGACATTTAACATAACTGAGTTATTTTTTATATTAATAGTATAAAAATCTTTGTTACTCCCACTAAGAATATTTAGTGAACTCATTATAATTGACTGGGTTTCATTCGTTTCAAAAAAAATCTTTAATACATTGTGAAATAGTTATTAAATGTCTGATTCAATGTTCAAGTAATTTCTGTACTTGGTTTTAATGGCTGTTATAAGTTGAAACAAGGGTAACACTCAAAGATGTAGATTCTAGAGGAAGAAGTACATCTTTGGCTGCTCTTCCTAATGCAAGTACCGATTTTTTCTTGTAATGTCTTGGGAATATTTCCTTTTTCTTTTCACGTTAAAATGTTCATAGTACAACCTCAGTCAAAACATGGAAAAAAAAAAAAAATCACACAAACCCTTATTGGAGGACATTCTACAAGGATACCTGGTAAGTATTGAAGACTGTTAAGGTCATGAAGAGGAATGAAAGACTGAGGACACTATCACAGACCACGAAGAGACTGGGGACATTTGACAACTAAATGCAGTGTGGTACCCTGAATTGGATCCTGGAACGGGAAGAGGATATTGGTGAAAAAAACTGGTGAAATCCAAATAAAATCTGTATTTGGTTAATATTTATGTACTGTCAGTTTTTTCATTTTCTAAATTTAAAAAAAAAATTTAATAGACTTTATTTTTATTATTAACAGTGCAGACTGTATTTAAACGGTAAATGAGAAGAAATTGTGATTAAACTTTATTCTTTTAGAGCAGTGTTAGGTTCACAGAAAAATTGAGCAGGAAGTACAGAATTCCCATATACCCACTGTTCCCCACACACACACAACCTCCCCCACTATTGACAACCCCCACCACAGTGGCACATTTGTTACAATTAATGAACCTACAGTGACACATAATTATCATCCGAAGTCCATAGTTTACATTACCGTTCATCCTTGATGTTGTACATCCTTTGGGTTTCAACAAATGTATAATGACATGTATCCGCCATTGGAGTATCATACAGAACAGTTTCACTGCCCTAAAAATCCTCTATTCCCTATCTATTCATTCCTCCCTCCCTGCTAACTCCTGGCAATCACTGATCTTTCTACTTTTTCCATAGTTTTGCATTTTCTAGAGTGTCATATATTTGGAATTATAAGGTATGTAGGCTTTTCAGATTGGCTCTTTCACTTACTAATATGCACGTAAGTTTCCTCCATGTCTTTTCATGGCTTGATAGCACATTTCTTTTTAGCACTGAATAATAGTCCATCATCTGGATGTACCACAAGTCATTTATCCATTCACCTACTGAAAGACATTTTAGTTGCTTCCAAGTTTTGGAAGTTATGAATAAAATGAATATAAGCACCCTTGTACACATTTTTGTGTGGGCGTAAGTTTTCGATTCATTTGCGTAAATACCAAGGCAAGGATATATTTAGTTTTGTAAGAAACTGCCAAACTGTCTTCCAAAGTGATTGTACCCTTTTGCATTCACATCGGCAATGAATGAGAGTTCCTGTTACTCCACATCCTCACCACAATTGGTGTTGTCAGTGTCTTGGATTTTGGCTATTCTAACAGGTGTGTAGTGGTATCTCATTGTTGTTTTAATTTACAATTCCCTAATGACATACAATGTTAAACATATTTTCATATGCTTGCTTGTTATCTGTTTATCTTCTTTGGTGAGGTGGCTGTTCAGGACTTTTGCCTATTTTTTAATAGGATTGTTCATTGTCTTATTGTTGAGTTTTAAGAATTATTTGTATATTTTGGATAACAGTCTTTTATTAGATGTGTCATTTGCAAATATTTTCTCCCTGTCTGTGGCTTGTCTTTTCATTCTCACAATATTGTCTTTCACAGAGCAGCAAGTTTTAATTTTAATGAAGTCTGGCTTATTGATTGTTTATTCATGGATCATGCCTTTGGTATTGTATCTAAAAGTCATCACAATACCCAAAGTCATCTAGGTTTTCTCCTATATCATCTTCTAGGAGTTTTGTAGTTGTTCATTTTACATTTAGGTCTATGATCCATTTTGAGTTCATTTTTGTGAGAGTATAAGTTCTGTGGCTAGATTATTTCTTTGCATGTGGATGTCCAGTTGCTCCAGCGCCATTTGTTGAAAAGACTGTCTTTTCTCCATTGTATTGCCTTTGCTCCTTTGTCAAAGATTAGTTGACGACATTTACATGGTTCTATTTCTGGGCTCTTTATTCTGTTCCATTGGTATATTTGTCTATTCATTTGCCAGTACCACACTGTCTTGATTACTGTAGTTCTATAGTAAGTCTTAACATCAGGTAGTGTCAGTTCTCTGATTTTGTTCTTCTCCTTCAATATTGAGTTGGCTATTCTGAGTCTTTTGCCTTTCTCTATAAACTTTAGAATCAGGTTGTCTATATTCACAAAATAACTTGCTGGGATTTTGATCGGTATTATGTTGAATCTGTAGATCAAGTTGGGAAGAACTGACATCTTGACATTACTGAGTCTTCCTATCCATGATTATGGCATATTTCTCCATTTATTTAGTTCTTCTTTGATGTCTCTTAAGATTTTCATAGTTTTCCTCATATAGATCTTGACATATTTTGTTAGATTTATACCTAAGTATTTCATTTTGGGGGGTGCTTACGTAAACAGTAATGTGTTTTTAATTTCAAGTTCCACTTGTTTATTGCTGATAGCTTCTTAGTTTTTTATAAGCATAACATGGAAATATAAAATATTAGCACTGGGGAAACTGGGAGGAGTATATGCAGACTCTCTGTTCTATCCTTGCAACTTTTCTGCAAATCTAAAATTATTCTAAAATAAAAAGTGTATTTTAAAACAGTGTTCCCAACCTTTTTGGCACCAGAGACTGGTTTCATGGAAGATAATTTTTCCATGGACCAGGGTAGGGGGATGGTTTTAGGATGATTCGAGCACATTATATTTATCATGCAGTCAAACCTCTCTGCTAATGATAATCTGTATTTGTAGCTGCTCCCCAGCACTAGCATCACTGCCTCAGCTCCATCCACCAGGCATTAGACTTTCATCATCAGGCATTAGACTTTCATAAGGAACATGCAACCTAGATGCCTTGCATGCACAGTTTATAGTAGGGTTTGCACTCCTATGAAAATCTAATGCCACCGCTGATCTAACAGGAGATGAAGCTTATGCCATGATGTGAATGATGGGGAGCAGCTGTAAATACAGACGAAGCTTCATTCACTTGCCCATTGGTCACCTCCTGCTGTGCAGCCTGGTTCCCAATAGGCCATGGACTGGTACCTATCCACAGCCAGGGGATTGGGGACTACAGTTTTAAAATATTCATGGCAATACTTAAGATATTTTTTTCCTTTCTTTTATATCTTAAGACTCTTCATTGCACATATCTATATATTTTAAACTATTTTTAAGAAAGCATCTAGTCAGTCATATCATACGATTTAAGAACTAATGATAATACAATGTTAAATGTGTATTATAAAAGTGAAAAGGAATTTTCACCATGACTATGTTTTCATAACGTCAAAAAGAAAATCTTTAGAGACAGTGTGATGTGGCTTTGGGGCAAGATTGACCTGTTTTGAGATCCAAACTCTGCCACTTTCTTCATATAAGACCTCTCTGAACTTCCATTTTCTCAACTAGAAAATGGGAGTAATAAAGTAGACCCTTGGCATTTGTAAATTCAGCATTTGCAGTTTTGACTACGAAAGTCCATGACCTGTACCACTCTATAATTAGGCTGAAGAGGAAATTTGAATTTTATACATTAGCCAGAGTATAGGAGACCATATAGCTAAGTGGTTGAAAGAATAAGCTGAAATAGATTAATTACCTGAATTTGAAACCTTTGTTCATAATAATAACCTTTGTTATTATTAACTATGTGACTTATTATATTAATTATATAACTATATTATTATAGTTAATAATAACAAAGGTTATGTTATTCCATGTACAGATCTCTTAAATTCACTAAGCTTCAGTTTTCTTAATTATAGTCCCACTTTACAAGTTTGTTGAATTAAGTAGTAAAGAAAATAATAATAACCACAAAACTACAACAGTTAAGATTGGTTGAATACATTTAATATATAGGGCCCTGTTCTAGATGTTTTACACCTATTTTTTCATTTAATTCTCTCAACAACATTATGCATAAATACTACTAATATCCCCATCTTATAAGCGAGAAAATTGATATAAAATGTTTAACTTGCTCAACACACTGCCTGGCAAATGCTAAATAGTCAATATATGCTGGCTGTAATTATCCCAGCAGTAAACTGAACTCCATGAGGGAATACACAGCCCTCACAGTGCCTGACATATAGTAGGTGCTTTTAAATAGATGCTGAAAAAATGAATAAACTAGTCACTTA